ATATATATATATATATATATATATATATATATATATATGTATGTATGTATACTAGTATTTTAAATTGAAAAATATTAAAATAGTAATATATTAAGTGGTCTTTTTATAGAGGTAAAAATATCACTATGTTAGAATTGAGAAAAAATAAAAGTAAACTAAACCTCTTTTTAAGTTAAATATTTTCACATATAATTTCCATTTTTATGTGACAGCATACGTCTCTTTCTATCCATTAAAAGAAACAATTTTAATGAATTTTCCGTGCAAACTAATCTCCTCCTTTTATCTATGTTTGATTAAAAGAGTAAACAAAATATCTGAAACCTTGTATGCTGGAGAGACAACGATGGAGAGGTAAAACTAGATGACCGTGTTTCTTCCGTTACAGACAACCGTACAGATCATATGATGAAGAAACGAGTTAAGGAAACAATTGGATGAAGCAATAAAAAGATATTTTTTATTACAGAAAGTTAAATTAAAAATGTAACGTATTATTAAAGATTATTTTTTATCATGTATATGTGTAAATATTTTATTATAAAAAACTATCTTCATACAAACTAGTATATTTCATTAATATAAACTGAAAAAAATTACTAACATATTATAAAAGATTTCATAATATTTTTCCAAGACTTCTACAAATGCTAATAAGATGTAAAACAAAATAGTCTGCACTACACCATAAATTAAATTAACTGTATTGCAAAATCTCTTTCTCTATTTTTTTAATTTAAAGATAAACTAATTTAATTTACTAAAATTATTTTACTGTTTCTCTTATTTTTACTCTAAGCAATAAGACTTTTGAAAAATCATATACATAGCTATTTCTGATTAATTTGCAATAGGAAATGTATACTGATATCAGGCATTAAACGCATAAAATAACCATAAAAGAACTTCCAGAACACAAGGAACGAGAAGCTTCTAGGCACAGGGACAGACAATCGAAAGAAAAGCAGATAGTTGTGAGGCGAAACGCGGAAGAACAAAACAATACTTCAAAATAGTGACTCTTGAGAAATTGCGTTTGAGCGAGTGAGAGATGAGAGAAAAGGTGCTAGATATTTGAATGAGAATTTGTGAATTTTGCAACTCGTTTCTCAAAAACCTACCTCACGCTGCAACATACACATCAAAACCAAGAAAGATAGCAGCTAAAAGAATTTAAACCAATACGATTTTAACTTTCGGCACTTAATAAAATTCTGAAACACCTTCCAAGAATTTTATGAAGTGCAGAAAGAAACACCCATTCTGTTTTTCACTAAATCGGCCTATCCTACCAAGAATGCTCGCAATTTTAACAACGATGATGCAAAGTCTATACTGATCGTGTTTCACAATCAAACAGAAATTTCAGAGTATGACTTAATGCCCCCAATTGTCGTTGAGTTTGGGAACACATGAGGACATAGCACTTTATGTAAAAAAGATTATCTGAAAAATATCTATAAATAAGTTTACAATGTGAATATACAATCATATATAGGTTCCTAAGTTTCAAACGAAAGAGACCACTGCAGCCTTTTCAAGTTCTTTATTTCCAAAATCATAATTGTAGGTCTTCTTCTGCAGGCCAATGGATTATCACTTGCCTGGCCTGCGCCAGCCAATAGGCAATGCATCACATCCATGGAATTTCACATCCCCAATGGGCAATCCTATTTCTACCTGATATAGTAGAAACATTCATCAGCACGACATTATAAACAATCAATCAGGTAAACAACCAGTGCATGCCACAATGATAATTAGGACTATTGAGAGGGAAATTCAATTCCATAAAAATGAACTAACAAAATCTCTTCCATGCGCAGCTAAAACAAGAATTCATATCTAGATTCCTTCATAAAGCTTCAAAAGCAAAATCTAAAGGGGTTATAACAACATTTTTTTAGGATAATAACATTTTAACGTGTGATTCTGTGATTAGTCCAAAATTACTCCACAAAAAATAATAATAATTATAAACACTAACATGGATCAATCACAAAATGACACGTAGATGATGTTAAAATGTTGTAAAAAAAAAGTTGTCAAATTTTTTATAGGAAAGGATGGAGACAAAGATTAAAAATACAGAAAGCCAAGAAGAAAATGCAAGTAAAATCTTTGAAGAATGAGTGGGACTGTAATTACTTTACAAAAAATAGTTCTGATAAGGTGCGATCAAAACATGTATCTTCAGTACTTCACATTAAATAAATTTTAGTCTAGTAAAAATCTAACCTTTTAGACAGAACAAATCTCAGTTTTTGCAATTCCTTCTGTATGCTTAACTCGAACTAGAACCTGCAGCACAAGAAGCTTTTGTGTTATTGTCTCCCAAAAGACCGCCCCCTTCAGTGCCAGTTAAAGCCTGATCATTAGGTCCTTGAACTGAATCATCCTCTAAATTACTTGGAGCTGAATTAATATTGCTTCTATTACTGTCTCTGGTCTCCAGCCGTTCCATCATGCGGGACACAGTTGCAATCCCTGCATTAACTTCTCGCCTAACATCAGATCCAATATCAGACATAGCATTGTTACGAGAAAACCATCTCTCCTTCCACCCTCGGGTACTCTTGGAAATTGACTCCTTGTACCTGAAATACGAGAAAAAATAGAAATTATAATGGCAGAATATTGTACTTTACCAGACCCACATGCAACATACAAAAGTCTACTACCTTGATGACACAGCATTCAGTTTAGATTTCAGAGACTCTGAAAATGACTGCAATTCTGATGGGCCTGCTCTGTCTTGACTACTTGGAGATGACTGATTAGGTGATCTCCTGTATGAATTTTCAGACCCAAAAGTTGAGAACTTCTAAATATAGAATACAAGGCAATTATGAATTTATAAACTTAAAAATAATCTAGAGATTCAAAACCGAAAATGAAAATGACCTATTGTTGTACGATGATCCCTGATGTTCTGTACCAAGAGCACTAGATCCAGATCCTGAAGCAGAGACCTGCTCTGCTTGAACAGGAGCAACTAAAGTCAGTTGTGATGATTGTTCTCCTGTTGCAGGAGATGGAGACAGATTGGCAACAGCAATAGTAGGAGTTGCTTCATCATCTCCCCTCTGAGATGGAGAGGAAGAAGTAGGAGCCATGGGAGGCGAATTAGGATGAGTCGAAAAAACTAAAAAGTGTGGGCGACCTTGAGCTGATGACCTGTTTCTCTGCCCTTCCCTTCTAGCAATGTGGCGTGCTCTTCCCATTGCTGCTGCCGCAGCTAAGTGTTGGATTATACGCTCTTCAAGATCAGCATCACTAGCTCCAACTGGCAACTGCATGAGAACCCAAAAATCACCGTAATGCATGATAACAGTTCAAAATACTTTCAAACTAGCATAAGTAGACTACAAACATGTTGTAACTCAAAATCCCCCAGTGTTGGATGATGAAATATTGTGGCATTTCTAGGTGGATTGATCCTAAAGTTTCGCTCTCTTTCCACTGCCTCAAGTAATTCTTGGCTGCAAATACAAAAAAAGCAGAGAAGCAAGTAAATAAATCTATAAAGCAAATAATGACAAGCAGATTAATAAATAAACAAGAATTTAAGAACATCACGAAAACTACAAACCTTGTTGGATCTTTGAGACTGATAGGTTGCCAACACATGGGGCACTGGGAGCTTCTTTGACACCTAAAAGATAAAAGTTAGAGCTCAATACAAAGTCTTCCTCCAAAGATTGTTAAGCGATTTACGTAACAATTGATTGTGGCTGCGGGCACAGATTAGCCAATGTTTTTTTCCCTTGATACCAACATTTCTTTTTCACCAGAATATGTACATGAAATTAAAGAATAAACCACAAGGCATGGAAGAAACATGAAATTACGTGTATAACATATTTGTGAGCCTAACAGGAGCATGCTATAAATGTCCATATCTACAGACTTCAAAAATCAGAGCATCAATAGTCAACAGTAACTCATATAACAGACTGGAAGACTGCCCAAAACATTTCCTTTGTTCAGCGGAAAATGATCACTTGGACAACAACGAATTGATCTAGTAGCTAAGCAAGTTTGTACTTACGTGTAACAACTGTATAATGATTGAAGTTTTTACTCTGGGACAGTATTAATAAGTTTCTTTTATCACTTGGACACTGTTAAAAGTTATCAAATTGTAAACCAGTCAAGTTCAGGCCCTACTGGTTTATTGTTCATAAAATTCATCTGATATTTCCAAGAACCTTGACTAACCATAGATCAATAAAGTGCCTCAAACAATGGCGATATAATGACTTGAAGGAACGATATGAAATTGGTTGTTGATATAAGCCCCGAGAGTCATTGGCATTGACATACTCGAGCGCTGGAATTTTCAAGCCTGCACAACAGTGAAAGCTTCATTCCAACTTCAGAGAAATAACAATAATTCATGACACTCTCTCGTTCAGCTGATAATGACAGCTTATTTTAAATTGAGCACCAGACGCATGTTTTCCTTCAAAATAGACAAACATATCCGCAAAATACTCTATTAAGAAGCCCCTTCTGCAAGTACATTAGCAGAAAATACAGTCATACAAATTCCTTACTTTAGGAACCCAAATCACTGATCAAGAAACATAGCAGCGGCTTTAACAATCGAGATTCACAGCAATAATTATAGTAATGATAATAATAATAATAGTAATAAATAATAATAATAGTAATAAGTGAAACACCCATCATTACCACCAAAGTCCAGCCCAGCCCAATCAACATTAATCCCCATGATTGACTCAAAAAGAATTAATTATCGAAACCGAATAACAATACCATTCGAGAATGCACTGAAGATGAAACTCGTGCTTGCAACTGGTAACCTGCAAGAAGGGTATAAGAATAGCCTGATCAATAGGGTTTACAAGCAGTCAACAGTAATCACGACCATAACAATTAAACTGACACCATACCGTGGAAGGATCACTGTCACAGAAGGCTTCAAGGCATATGCTGCAGGCATCATCACAAGCGTCCTGAATTCCACCCTCCACAAAAGCAGCGGCGGAAGTCAAATGCGCCTCAGACTTATTACTGTCATCACTGATATTATTCCCTTCCATCCCAGCACCCTACAAAACAACACCCCGCTGAAATCGACACAAACATACAACAACAAGAACTGTAGACATAAAATCCCAATCGAATTGACAACCCACGCCGCCACGCTACAGGATTCGGAACACAGCGAAACAAATCAAACTAGCACTCCTAGGGAATCAGATCAAATCAAAGAGTCTCGGAAGAGAAAGATTCCCTAATCGAAAAGGACAGGGCGTGGGAAAAGAAAAAGAGAGAAAGAGAGAAAGAGAAAGGAGAAAAATTCAGAGTAGACAGCTGAGTAATCGAAACGGTGTTACCTCCATGGAGAATTGCGCGATGACTTAGCGAAATCGAGATTCGAGATGCGATTGGAAGAAAACCCTAGCGAGAGCGAAAGAGAGAGAGAGAGAGAGAGAGAGAGAAGTTTTCTACGGTGCGGTGTGGTGTGGTGCGGTGTGAAGTGAGTGTGTGGGTGCAGGCAATGGGGGTTACCCATTCCTTTATGTTTTACTTTTTGGAAGAAACCAACCAAACACGGAGTCAGCTAACCTTACCTTAGCTCGCTCGGTCTTCGTCCACCACTCTCTGTTCTTCTGACACGTGGCATTCCCAAACGAATCTCTTTGACGAGTCTCTCACCTTACGCGTCACTCTCTTTTGCTCCGCCCCATCATCATACATACATTCACATTATCTATATCACCATCCCTCCTTTAATTTACCTTTCACATTCAAATTCTTATATAATTACATTAATTCCTTTTAATGATTTTCTAAAATAGTACAAATTATCTATGTCACTTTGAATCACAAACAAGTGACAGAAATTTCCATTCATTTCATATTTAATCATAAGGAACTGTTTAATCCCTACCACTTTCTCACGCTCAATTACACCAATCAAACTTTTTATAATAGGTCTTATTCTACAATCTCATTAACACTTTCTGAATACAAAACTTAGGATTTTCAATACATTTTTCCCATTCAGACACTCATTCAAATATCATATAGGTAATTTAATAAAAGGTAGTATGTAGAGATGACTAATATACTTGTTTTCATAAATATTTTTTAAATTTATTTTTGTTTTAATAAAAAAATCTCCACCTTGGTATAATTATGAATATGAATAATATTTAAATTTTTGAATTGATATGAAAATTGGGATATATATATATATAAATTATTTTTTAGCTACATATTTTTTTATCTCTTTTTAATTGTTTGATTTTATTATGAAATTACTTCAGATCTTCATGTTATTTTCTATTCAATCAAATGTATGAAAATTATATATTTTTTATATTTTATATTTGAATAATTATATTTATTTTTAATATTTTTATTTATCGTTTCTTCACATAAAAATGTTTAACTTTTAATTTAAATATTTAATAGCATAAATCATTTATTTACTAGACAATATAAAATTTTATCTTTTCCTATTGTCTTTTAATTTTTTCATTTATTTTTTTTAAAACAATTTTTATCATCTTCCAACATTTGATATTTGAAAAGTTTAATCGCTAAGATATTTTTCATGATTATATTCCTATATCCAAATTGTTTCTAAAACCATATTTGCCTTTTTTAACACAATTTTTATTGTTGTTTACTTCTATTGTTTAGAATATTGTTTTGATGTCTTTTAATAAAATATTTTTATTTTTAAATTTACTTATCATAAGTGTAATTCTATCACTATAAACTCGTATAAAACAAATGATTTTACTATCATGGTTAAAAAATAATTTAATGTATTGTCATAAATATTTTTAATCATTAGTCCAACATATTCAAAAGACACAACATAATCTATATTAAATTTCAATTATTTTATTTTTATTTATACTAAAAAATTCCACTATAATTAAACAACCTAGGAAAGAGACATTTAAAACATTTTTAAATTTAATTATATGTTTCCTTTTAATAAGTTTTTTAAAAGTATTTTTAAACTTTATCAACTTTATTTTATGAACTTTACAAATTTAATAAATATTTTGGTCTTATAAATTTTATATATTACTCTAATTTAAAAGATATATGATTATAATTTACTTTTAAATATTTAATATTAAAAAATATAATACATCATTCTAATATTGAATGTTCTCTCCTGATATATCTGTTTATTTTAGAAAATTATTATTTAATATAAAAAACCTTAAAAGAGCAGACACACGTACAAGTGTGTATTTCCCCGATAAACCTGAAAAAAATGAAAAAACGGATGACACCAAATTTTTTTTAAGATGAATATGAAATAACAAAATTCTATCCACCTTACCCTTATCATCCCTGACAATAGTCCAATTGGTCTAAAAATAATAATATCATTATAATAATTTCAAATAGTTATTTGACTATCATAAAATAAAACTTTAAATTTAATCCATCTTTTACATTAGTTTAAAATAAACATTGTATTTACTTATATATTTTAAATTTATTTTTATTTTTATCGGTCCATCTATATGGTTTTATAAATTTACTCATGACAGTTATTCATAAGTCGAATAGTTACATTCATTCTGTTAACAGTAATTTACTTCTTCCCTCTAATTAGTCTGAGTCTTCTTTTACTCCAGTCTAAGGTTTTTGAGAAATTTGGTTTGGGAAGATTAATTTAGGTTTGACTTTTCGTAGCCAAAATTAAAGGCGTAAATAACTTTGCCCTCGGTTCTATGATTTGTAAATTAATTATTTTTTGGAATAAGTATGATCTTTTGCCGAAATTGACACGCTATTAGCGTCACAATGTGTGAATAATTCAAACCGTTGCCATCAAAGGAAAAAAAAAAACTCTCCTCAAAAACCGAAAAGAAAGGGACCATAACTCTTCTATTAAAAAATCAATTTATTTTCGAGCTAGAAGATTACAGAAGCCCACAAAAAAAATATCAGCTATTGCTCTTAGGAATTATAACATGTTAAATGCAAAATTAAAATTTAATTATCTTCAAAGAGATGACCCATTGCGAATATCTTTTCAAGCATATATGATTGGATTGTATGACCATCTCATACATAGTTAATTATCAATTTGACACAGAATTAATAAAATTTGAAAAATCATCCTAATAGATTTGACGATTATTTATTGAATAATCAAAATAAATCATCATCAAAACATAAATGATAAATCATAAAATTTAAATAATAATTTAACTAACTGGAACCACCCATTCATTAGATAATGAGTTTGAACAATAATTAAAATTTATTAACCTTATAACTAATAACTTAAAGTTAAAACATAATATCATATAAAGTTTACTTATAAAGTTTTCTCAATAAATTGTCAACTCTTGACTGGTTAAAACAGAAAGTCTTGTTTATAGTTATGACTAATTTTTGTAAATCATAGAAAAGTTGCACAAACTGTGCTTCCATAATTGAGTTTGAAAAATCAAGAAAAGAGACTGCGATAAAGAAGAAAATTATACTCTGATACCATCAAATTAACAATCACTGTCTACGTTGATAGAATGGTCCATTGTATAAAAAAGTTTAGAAACCTTAACACTATTTTCATTTATCTTCACACACTTATATATATATATATATATATATATATAGCTATTTATATATATATATATATATACATATATTATTCTTTTTTTACTTACAAACTAATAGAGAATATTGCTGATTCAATAATTTTTGTTTTTATGAATTTAAATGTTTTTTTCTCATCCAAAAATTATGGATTAATATACTAAGGTTGATCAAACAAAGTTTTAATTAGTTGGTATAATTCAATCAAATAAATCTTTAAACAATTAAAATTTAACTTTGATGTCGTATTTTCCGCTGTATTAACAAATGAAACAGAGAACCAAAACATCTCACCGGTGGTATAAACCACTCTTGTTTATGATTATTACTTGTTAATTACTCACTCATACTTTTTTTAGTTAAAGAATAGAAACTCAACTTTTGAATTATGACTTAATTATTTAAATTAGCTGAAACAAATTGTAAGACTATTCCATTACGGTCAAGAATTAATTTTTATGTTTCTGTTACATGGTAGTGCTTATCTTTCACAAAGTTTGGGTCTATTAGTAATACTATTGTTTTAAAGTTAGTTTTGCTTTTGGAATATAATTTCTCTCAAAAAATATAGGCACATATTTTTTAGTGGTAGATTAAATTATAATAATTTTTTATTTATGTTCATAAGTTAACAATAATTTGATTTTTTACACAAACAAAATTAATTATGTCATACAAATGACTTAAAACTTAATATAAAAACAAATAAATTTCAAACTTTAAACTAAATTGAGTTGAATAAAAAGTAGAGTTGCAACCGTTAACCTTTTGGAATTGAAATTTAAACTTAGAAAACAATACATATATCGATTTTACATAATCAAATTAATGTAATCTTGATGTAGTGGTAGACGTATCAATCATATTTATATTATTTTCGACATTATTTTTTACCATATTTTACTGTACAAGGTGTTAAAAGTTGGAGTCTTTATGTATTGTTATTACAGTTACTTATAATATTTGAAATTCGTCTAACAAAAGTTATTTGATATGTTTTTAAAGTGAAAATAATTTCATTTACATGGTAAAGATATCTGATTATGTGAAGAACACTCTCTACATATTATTAATATATTGCATAGACAATTCATATTAGGTATAAAAACCTTTTTATATACTTAAAAAATTATATTGGTTTCAGAACTACTATAAATACAAGAAGTATAAGTTTTAAAATCATATAACAATGTCATTATTTATTCAAGTTAAGCTAGTATCGATGTAGAAAGTGTTAAAAGCATACTGAAAACAGAAGTGTTATACAATCATACTGAAACGCTTAAAGTTCCTACATGCCTTCATCCTAGATTTTTCTTAAACATACATTTAAAGACAAACAAAATAAAACATAGTATATTTTTTCATGAAGAGACCTGACTCCTTCTTGCAATCCTTTGAGTCATTGCAAAGAAATAAGTATTTAATCAAACTACTCTAAAATTCATCATTTATTATCACCTTAGAAAAAATCAATGCAAAAAAGCCAACACAAAACGTAAACCTTAATAAAGAAACCTTAGTACACACCATCACACCGTCTAGAATTTCTCTAGGTCGTAACCCAGGTCAAAGTTCATAGCTCATAGGATGGACTCGACAATATCAGTAAGGACCTTGTATGCCTTGACGGATTCACTGTGCACCAAACAGAGTGATTTTGGCGACAACATGCACAAATCACTTCGATCTAGACCTAAAAAACTGGGGAGCACGTTATGATGAAACGATGAGTGTCATGGCGGATGGCAACTCGTGTTAACTTCTCAGTGTTGATGTTGGCATCGAGTGAGGCTAGATAGTTGCTAACAACTCAAGGTGGTGGAGACAATGGTCATGGTTGTAGGCATTGTGGCAACGATGATGCTCAAACATTTGCGACTATGCAAATCCATGGTTTGTTGAGAGTGTGAATGATGACATTGTTAGGATTTAAGAAGGGGAGGAAAAAGGAGAATGATGGTTAGCATTTTGAGAACCCTTTATATGTGTTTACAAATAAAAAATACATTTTATAGTAGTTATAACTAGAACTATTGTATGGTCATTCGATTTACTTAGGATCGGACAATTCACACATTTAGGATTGTACCATACAGCTCGAATGATTACTTTTAAACAACAATTAGACTTGATGTAGATTAATTTACATTAAAACATGATTAAGACCAATTGGATTGTGATTAGGCCCTGAAATCTAGTTTTGGATAAAAATATAAATGATTGTAATTAATTACGCATTAATTATTAACTCATTAAATCTTTACTTACTTAGACCTAATAAACGTATAACTCATCTATAGATTAAAATAGTATGGAAAACATTTTTTTTATTATAAAATGTCATTACGTTCACTTTTAAATAGATTAAAAATTGTCTTTTTTATTACAAAATTGACACCGAATTTACTTCTAATACTGATAAGTGGTTTTATCTTATTCTACAATTTTAAATACTATATAAAAAATATAAAAAGTTAATTTTTGCATTATTGAGTATATGTATATCAAATATGTTTAAAAGGATGTGGAGTTATTGTACTATTTATATATCTATCTACTCATATACTTATAATATCTACTATTCTGTGTGTGTGTTGTGTGTGAACCGGTACTTAAATATCCTCTTCTCCTTTCAAAAGTAAAAAAGAAACGAACACCCCAACCCTTCTCACCCTTCCTCATTTCTCTCAACCCTTTCTCTTTTATCTTTCTCACTTCAACATTTTCTCTGTCATGCCTACTGTAACCCGAACTGAAAAAATCGGAAACATTTGCTTAATCCTAATCCTCCTTCCTCACTTATCCAATTTGTTTCTCTCTCCGGTTGCTTTTAATTAACTTATAACTCTTTTTGGATTCAAATCTAAGCAAAAGAATGAAAACAACTAAGATAAAAAAGAATAATTCAAAAAATGATGAAAGATTTCATTCCAATTTAATTGAATCTAGTACAAAAAGAATACATGGAACTATATTTCATTTCAAATTGTCAGTATTTTAGGTTTTTTTAGGTATTTTTTATGATATTGTAGCCCCAACCTATCCATGAATATAAGAAATAGCGAGAACTTTTGATTTCTCTCAATATCTCTCTCAATTCGAAAATTTAGAATTTGAATTGATGTCCTTTCATCGAATCCTCCTAATTGCATTGATTTATCCGAAAGATTTCAGTTCAATTTGAATTGTGTGGGTGAGTGTGAATATGAAGATAAGAGAGAAACAAATTGGACAAGTAAGGAAGGTGGATTAGAGATAGGTGAATGTTTATGATTTTTTCAGTTGGGACTACATTAGTGATCATAAAGAAAATGTTGAAGTGAGAGAGATGAAAGAGAAATGGTTGAGATGAATGAGTGAGGTGAGTAAAGGGTTGAAGGTTTCTTATTTTTTTAGTTTTGTCTACTAAAATCCGATACACATTACTAAAATGTACCTAACTAAAGAAAACGTAGAAAAATAGTGAAACCCCTGCATTTGAGATAAAAAGTGATATTGCACACACAAAATTATAAGAAGAAACACCGAATTTTAAAAATCCTAAAAAGTTGAATAAGGGGTTAGGTAGTTGGTAATCTCTCTTAAAAGTGTCTTCAACGCAAGTCATTAAAGAGATTGCAAGAGTTTAGATTTTACATTAAATAGGAAAGAGAAAGGAGAGACTAAGAGAGAAATGTAACCGTATTAAAGATGTATTAAAAGTCAAATAAGAAAGTTATGAAAGTTAATTGAAGTGAAGGCGAGCAAAACTCCTGAAAAAGCTGTTTGAAGAGAAGAAGTTGAAAAGCAATAGCATTGAGAAGAGACAAGAAAGCATGTTGCAATGTTGCTTTTTGATGTGTTATATGACCTACTTCTCCCGTTTTGAACAAGGGAAACAACGAGAAAAAGAAATATGTACAACATTAATCTATTTGAATGTGAACCTTAAAATGAATACATCATTACTCTCGCCACTCACTTTTTTACCTCAAACTTAACATGCCAATATCTGACAAATGGAACCTACTTTCTACTTACCCTTCTTCCTCAGTACAACTACAACCACTACATGTTAATCACTTCAGAAATTCGTAAAACACTTTCTCAACGTTATCACAATAATGAGAAAATAGACACAAGGAGAAAAAAAATTATTATCCACTAAACCCAATATATTTGATTAATCACTGTCTTATGCACACACAAATCATCGCGCGTCCACGTCACGCTCCAAAATGGTTTGGTTTCAGTTGCGCGCAAAGGTCGAAATCATTGGGCCTGGCAGGGGCATTCCGCAGTGGGTTGTTGTCGTTGTTGTTCGAGGCGCTGAGAATCGCTTCTCCAGAAGCCCGTTCCGTTAAACTGGGCCCACATCTCCTCCTCCAGCTTGCTAGTGTCCTCCGCCACGTTTTCCGAGAGGTTTTCCTCCAGAGAGGGCCTGGGCCCAGAAACATCATCGGGCCCAGAAACACCATCGGGCCCGTGATCCAAGAGAGCCTCCGTTTTCTTGTTCTTCTTCTGCAACTGGCGTCGCTTCCTCTTGTGCATGGCCTTCTTCACGAGACCGGCGGGGACCTTGTAGGCGGCGAGCACTACCACGTCCATCACTGTGCAAGGTACGCAGCAGCACACGGCGGCGCACGCAGCAGTTGCATTTCCCGCGACCTCTCCCGCGCGGCAGCGCTCCCGGCACCGGGTGACCGGCGGGGAGCGGCGCAGGACCTTCTGCTGGCGTGCCATGGGGAGCGGCGGCGGCGAGTGAAAAGAGTGAGAGGTCATCCCTCCATTGTTAAGAAGAAAGGAAGGGTTTGAGAAATGTGCGGTGGAATCGAAGTGAATGGATGGGGGAGCTTGAACCAAGGGAGTACCAAGCTTTTCACAGGCTAACAAAACCCTTTTTAATATATATTTATATATATACACATACAAATATTTGTGTATTTTAACATACTCTTTCTTGTTAGTTAAATTTGTAACAAAATTAAAAAATTTACGCAACAATATAAATACCATGTACTCATTGATTAAATAACATCGATTTTCATCCTTCTTAGTAATTTTCCTTAAGGCCATATATTATATTGTTCTAAGGTTGCTACCCCTTTATACATGCAAAATGATATTTACACTTTCATGAAACAATTTTTTTTTTCGTTCAATTATTCTAAAAACAAATTGTTCTTTACTTGAATATAAATTGTAGCCGTTATAATTCTTTATAATAATAAATTACATATAAGCACTTAGTTTGTGGAATCTAACCGCCGCTTATATAAGTTTGTAGTTTACTTTATTTGTCATAGAAAATCACGTTTCCTGATTATTGAAAAATGGATATAACATTATTCAGGCGTTTTAAGTAATAGATAAACTTCAAAGATAATTTATTTATGGCATGGTTCACACCAATCCTTATGTTATAATAAAAAATAAACTTCATATATGTAGGTGCGACTGTACAAGATTCATACTTTAAACTTGAAAGGCTTTTGCTCAAGAGGAAGTGTTATGGATGTAGTATTAAATCATTTTCATTCCTTTTCTTAATTGTATATAAACCTTTTAATGATGCGAGGCTTTTGATTCATTATTATAATATGAATTGTATTGTTTATACAAAAACTTTCGAATAGTTAAGGGGTGTATAAAACTTTAATTCAATTTATGGAAGTCACGTAATGATAAGAAGTACATTGAAAAAAAATCATAATATGAATTTGTTTTTTTTTTCTTATAAGATGAATTCACAATCATACAAAAGAGATTAATGGATTAAAGAATTTATTTTTTTGTATACTTACACCATTACTATCTATATATACGAATTTAAAACCGTAGACCTATTACATTATTCACATTGTTTTCATATGTTTATTTGATTATATTATAATCGAATATATTATGCAAAGATTTTTATTTTATTTCTTGTTTTTTTATTTGATTCTTTATGCTTTGTGCACGTTCTTCAAAACTTCAAATATAATAACAAAAAGAGAGATTTTTACAAAAGATTAGTTAGTACCTAGTCAAAGTTCTTAGTCAAATTTTAACTAATACAAAAGTAAATTATAAATTATCATTAACACTCTATTTATAGTGTTTTTTCTCATTGATCATGGATTTAATTGGATGAGGTCATCATCCTACTGACCCAATTACCTACCAAACAAGCTTCATCTTTTGACCAAGTCCATCAATGCGTCATTGGATAGGAGACATCAATCCCAAGTCTCTGGGTTGTGATATCTAGTCCATGGTGTTTGGTATTCCACTATGTTAAGGCTATAGACTTTACTTGGGAGGGCCAGTAAATCTTTAGCCCTATACAGTACAAATTTTAAATAATATTTGTGATATAAATTTTAAAAGATGGGTAAATTTATGTTTAAAACATGTTGTTGTTGATTGACCTAACGAGTGAAAATGAAAGGGTCAAGGTTCTTTGCATAAAAAAAAGGAATGTTTTCAAGGTATTTGTGGATAAAGTAAAAGCATCAAGGGTAGATACATAACACCAATAAAATATGAACTTAGTTTATATGTCTTGTTTCTTATATATTGCTTAACTTTTCATTTCTATTCAATCTGAAACATAGGTTTGCATTTGAATTTTCCAACAATCATATTAAGAGAGATGAGTGTGTACTTAACGACGAGCATATACACTTCTTCATGAAAATCACCATGCAAAAAAGCGTTATCCACATCAAGTTGATGTATAAACCAATAAGAGGAGACAACTATAGAGAGAAGGAATTGAACTATAGTTAATTTAACTACAGGTTAAAAGGTTTCAAAGAAATCTACCCACCCTGTTTGTGTGAAGCCCTTAGTAATCATTCGAGTTTTATGTCTTTCTATGGAACCATTTGATTTATATTTGGTTTGGTAAACCTATTTGTAAACCATAATTTTCTTCCTTGGAGGTAGACTAACCAAAGACCAGTATTGTTTTTCTTTAAACACATAAGTATGCTTTCTTCTTTGAAAGATGTAGTGTTCGATGTACCAGAAATAGACAAACAAAAAGCAGTATGAGATGATGAGCCTTTTGAATAAGAAAGATAAGATTGTAAAGGATAAGGTGTGGTACAAGTAAAATGTAAAGAGGCAATGGTAGGACAATGGTAATCATATCATCTAAGTATGAGTGAGACCTTTTATTTCTAGTGGAAATCCTTATATTATAGTTAATGACTTGAAAGAGAATCGTGAGGATAAGATTCAATGTTCTCACTAGATGTAATGTTATCATGATTTTGTAAAGAATTTGTTGAAATAGAAAAATGTGGATTTTTAAAAGTAAAAAGAAAGCTAAATTTTATATTTTTAGTAATGCCACAAGTGATGTCTATGGTGGAAGAATACACTGTTGGGAATTCAAGTGTGAGTCTAAGTTCCACATTGGATAAAAATGAGAAAGTAGAGCAGTATATAAAGAAGAAAGACCCATTAACTCATAATAACAAGATGATATCAGGGACATTGCCATAAACTAATTCGGGAGCTTAAAACATGTAAAAAAGGAGTAAGAAGTCTATTCATGACTTGAGTAGCATGTTTAACAACAAAAGACCAAAAACAAATTGGTAAATGTGCTTGAAATAATAGTAAGTAACATTTAATAGATGTTGGTATTTTTATTCAACCATACTATTTTGTTGAGGAGTCTCAACACATGAAGTTTCATTAAAAATGCCTTTTGATGAAAACAAATATTGTAGAAGAAGTTCTTTACCATTATCATATATGAGTTTCTTAAGCTTTAAAGAGAATTAATGTTCAATTAGTTGAATGAAAGAATAAAATATTTGACATCAAATTTGGCTTGGAGAAGATGTATTCGAGTGAAACGAGTAAAATCATCTCCTACGGTCAATAAATATTTGGTGATGGAGTGGAAACTGGACCCATATGTCCCATGTATGAGTTAAAAAAACTTGAAATTGCTACTATTACTAGTAGCAAAAGACAATATATTTTTTTTGGCATGTATCACAAGGACGTAAGGAATAAAAACCAATATCATTATATATGGAAGATAATTGTTTCAAAATTTTATTTGAAGTATGACCAAGTCTAAGATGTCATAACATAGATTTATCACTAAGCATTACATTGGAAAGATGTGATGAATTTATGAAAACATTAGAACGAGATCTGCATGACTTGAAGTCACTAGAGTCTTGTAAGTAGAATAAGCCATGCAATTTCTTAGTTGCACCAATCATTTGAAAATTGTTTTTCTGCAGAACTAAACAATGTGCATAACAAAATATGACCATGCAATTAATTGTGGAAATGAGTTTGAGAATTGATATAAGATATGCAGTCTAGTACATACAAAACATCAACAAAGGTTAACTTTCCAAGATGAATATTGCTAGAAAAATGGGCAATGACAGTGGTATTATTGGGTAATTTTATTTTAATAGGATTGATAACTTTTAAAAAAGAAAAAAAAATGGATGGGCAAAAGTAAAAAGAGATATCACATTTATGATGGACTTGAGAGGTTTGATTGTGATTGACAGAGGATGAGTTGACCTTGGATTGTTGGAGAAGAGTCATAATAGCTTCATATTGATCCTCTAAAAAACTAAATTGACCATGATTAGAGCTATCAACCATTTCAGTTTGTTGTGAAGCTGTATCAAGATGTACTTCTACCAAACTAGCAGAGGTGGTGGAAGTAAAGGAATTTCTACGATTTCTCCAATAACAAGATTCAATATATGATTGATTTTCTTATATTTCTCACAAAGTTTTGTGTTCCTGCCACTGGTAATCTAGGAGTGTGATTCTTTTGTGATCCAGTTTGAATTTTATTGAAATTGTGAGGTTGAGAGTTGTGGCCATATTAGTGATTTGAACAGAAAAAACAATAGAATATGGAGATGAAGAGGAATTACCAACAAATTCACGTTCATTTTGGAGGATCATGAAAAAATCTTTGACAATTGAAGGCATAAGATCCATCATCGTTATTTAAAAGCATACTTGAGAATATTCATTGTTCAAGCCTCAAAGAAATCAGATTATGCAATCGTATTCGTGTTCTTTATTGTAATCTTGGAATTAACCCGCAAGAACAGGATGTTAAACAAATGCAGAAAATAACACTTGTACAATTCAAGTTCTTTCCACAAAATATAGTATTTGTGATGATAATGTTGTAAGTTAAATGATTATGAAAGGTTTAAAGACCATAAATATCAATATTTTTGTACTTATTTCTATCAATTACAGTTTTTTGACATATTTTTCATGTATTTAAAAAAATGGTATTTTGTCTTTAAGTTTACAAATATCAAACATTATTATTCTGAAATACACATTAGCATTAATATAGAATCCAGAAAACAAAGAAATTGTACCAAATATCATGTTCAATCCAAGACCAAATTTTTTTATCACAACGATAGATGCAGCTGAATTACTTAAAAGATTTTAAATATCTATAATTCAAAATGACTTTTAGTGGCAATGCACTCAGTTCAAGTTGGGGATGAGATTGGAAAAAATACTGTATATTCATTCTCCATAAGTGTTATTGAAAAAAATTCAATTTCGTTCTCTAGGAACTAAAAGGAGAATTAAACAAAACATGATACAAGTAGAAAAAGGAGAATTAGTTTACACAGAGCAAGAGTTTAGGCGGCACGGGAAATGCCTTCCAGCAACAATCTTGTTTCCTGAACAGATGTGTGCAGATTCTGCATCTCATCCTCTAACTTCTCCAACATGCCTGAATAAGAAATGGAAGAAAAACTGTTTTTGTTGTTTGCAGCAATGACCCTAGCTGTCTGTAACTCTTCGGCTCTTGTCAAATCCATTTGCAATTCTTCTCCTAGAATCTTCATTTCACCCTCCTTTAGGTCATACTCAAACACATGTTGTTGGAGTTCAATAATCATATGCTCTATTTCAGTCATACAATTATCTCTAAACTCCAAGAGCATCTCTTTCTCTTTC